GCGCGACCAAGGGGTGCAGCAGACGGCGGAGGGAGGGGAAGGGATGGGAGTGGCTAGACCTTGGAAATGGCTGACAGGGGACCCCAGAGGACAGCCCAGTTCAAGCCCCAGTGAGGATTCATGTTTAAGAGGCCGTGTTGGACCCAGAGATTGCGGAGACCCTGAGCAGAGGGACTCTTTAGTCATCCATCGACTCCTGGCCTCCAGATCGAGCTGGATCCCCCTACCCTTCCTGCTCAGGGCTGTGGTTATTATTTTCAGAAGGCCAGACAGCCTTGTTTGTCCATGGCTTCGTCTCCGGAGAGAAGGCCCTCGTGTCCAGATAATCTGACATTCCCCTCCTACCCCCAAGATGGACTGAAATACCGGTTACCTCCGGTGCTGTTTACCAGATTGGTAACTAGATGCGACCTGTTGATAGCTGGTGTAGGCCAGGAGACCAAGATTCGGGTTGAGGTGACGTCGATGCTCAGAGCTGCCCTTTCCCCCTTCCAGGGCTGGGCAGCCAGGCAGCCATGCCTACCTGGGGGGCTGGCTCCCCGTCCCCTGACCGCTTTGCCGTGTCTGCGGAGGCCGAGGACAAGGTGCGGGAGCAGCAAACCCATGTGGAGCGCATCTTCAGGGTGGGGATGAGCGTCCTCCCGAAGGACTGCCCTGAGAACCCTCACATCTGGCTGCAGCTGGAGGGCCCCAAGGAGAACGCCAGCAGAGCCAAGGTGAACGCCTCTCCCTGACCTTTCCAGGGAAACAATATCTCCCTCCCTCTTGGAGGCAGAAGAGAGGAGGGGCTGGGGAGGATCTAAACTCCTTGCTTGTCTCCCTGGCCCTGAGCTTTGAGGAACTTCCAGACCAGCTCTGTTTGTCTCGAGTTTTGGTTTCATTTCTGCTGTTATGACCCAGGTTCTGCCAGGGCTTGGAGATAAGTGATTCAGTTCACATCAGTTTATACTCTGGGAGAGTAGAGATAATCTGGTTGGGCAAGCAGGCCCCACCAAGGAATTCTCTGTGTGGTGGGAGGCCACATTGCTTCCTTCGGAGTTAGTCAGGGCTGTCAGTAAAGGCGCCACCACCAAATGTCATTCTTATGGTCCTAGTTTCAGTTTCCTTATCTACAAAATGTGAATCATAACACATCATAGCGTAATCTCACTGTGATTGTGAATGAGGCAAAGCATGTAAAACATGAGTTCAGTAAAAGTTAGCCATGATGATCATTATGATGGAATAATACACATACACACACATGAATGTTTAGAATAGAGCCTTTTAACCAATTAATTATAACAGTATCTTGAATCAAGATCTAAATGGAAGTTTAGCCACAGACTGTCAGATGAAAAGGGAAAGAAGTAAGTTTCTTAATCCCCTTTTAACCCCCACCTGTGTCAGGATCTGTAGGGCTCTATTGCTCTGCCCAGGCATCCCGGAGCTCAGAGGAGAGCAGTGGGCCTGAAAGGGCTACTGGACCACTTAGGATTCCAGCAGTCTCCTTTTTTCCCCCACCCCCTCCTCTCTTTCCCCCAGGAGTACTTGAAGGGTCTCTGCAGCCCGGAGCTGCAGAATGAAATCCACTACCCGCCCAAACTGCACTGCATCTTCCTGGGGGCGCAGGGCTTCTTCCTCGATTGCCTGGCCTGGAGCACATCAGCCCACCTGGTGCCTGGGGCGCCCGGCTCACTGATGGTCAGCGGCCTGACTGAGGCCTTCGTCATGGTCCAGAGTCGAGTGGAGGAGCTGGTGGAGCGGCTGAGCTGGGACTTTCAGCTGGGGCAGTCTGCTGGAGCCTCTCAGTGTGCTGGAGTGCTGAGAGACTTCTCTGCCCTGCTGCAGTCCCGGGGGGATGCCCACACCGAGGCCCTGCTGCAGCTGCCCCTGGCCGTCCAGGAGGAACTGCTGAGCCTGGTGCAAGAGGCATCCAGGGCGCAGGGGCCCCAAGCCTTCCCCTTCTGGGAGCCGGGGAGCCCCGGCCTGCTGGGTGCTCAGCACCAGGGAGTCAGGGCTCCCCTGAGTGAAGGCAGGGAGTTCCTGGACACAGGACCTGTAGGGTGGCAAGAGTCAAGGGGAGAGAGACATGCTATGGAGAAGGAGGGAGCAAAGCAGAGTGGTCCCAGGGAGATGGATTTGTGGCGGAAGGAGCTGCTCGGGGAAGAGGCCTGGGAGAGACAAGTGGCCTTCAGGTCACAGTCAGGGGGAGGAGAGGCAGGGCAGGCAGGGGCCTTGAAAGGGAAGGCCCTGGGGAAAGAGGGGCTGCCCCAGGAAAGAGGAAGTTCTGGGTCCAGGGTGAGCCTCCTGGTGCCCAGGGCCCCTGTCAGAAGGCAGCTCAGCTCCGGGGAGCCTCCCTCCTCCAGCGGCTCCATAATGGGAAAGCCTCACCTCCAAGAGTGCCCAGCCCCCCACCTGCACCCGAACCCCCGTGGCACTGTGGAGACCGAGGGGACAGAGGAGACAGGGCAGAAAAGCAGCAGGCCATGGCTCGAGGTCGGGGGTCTCCGTGGAAACGAGGCACCCGGGGGGGCAACCTGGTGACCGGCACACAGCGTTTCCAGGAGGCCCTCCAGGACCCTTTCACCCTGTGTCTTGCCAATGTGCCCGGCCAGCCAGACCTCCGCCATATTGTCATTGATGGCAGCAATGTGGCCATGGTGTGAGTACCCGGTCGGGCTGAGGGTCCTGGGGAGGGGGATGAGATGGGCAGTTTTGTTCACCTTGGGGGCATGTGCTGAGCGGGGGACAATCCAGCCAGGCTGCCAAGCCCCTCCTCTGGAGCCCCAGAGTGCTGACCCCTTCCCCCTGCAGGCATGGCCTCCAGCACTACTTTTCCAGCCGGGGCATTGCCATTGCCGTGCAGTACTTCTGGGACCGAGGCCACCGCGACATCACTGTCTTTGTGCCTCAGTGGCGCTTCAGTAAAGACGCCAAAGTCAGAGGTGAGCTGGGCCTGGACATTAGTGTCAGGGGATGAGCCCTGCTTCCATCTTGAGGATAACCCCGTTGTGCACCTCTGTTTCTCTAGAGGGTCACTTCCTGCACAAGCTGCACTCCCTCAGCCTGCTCTCTCTCACTCCTTCCCGGGTCTTGGATGGCAAGAGGATCTCCTCATACGACGACAGGTACTTGCTTCTCTCTTGGCCACAGGCTTGATATTCAGGGAGCCCAGAAGGAGAGACAAAAGCTCCTGCCCCTTCACACTGTCTCTAAGCCTGAGTCGAAGGAAAAGGGCCAGTGTCTCCTACGACTAGGGAGGTAAACCTGCCCTGCAGGCAGAATGAGAGGGATGGTGGACAACTGTGTTTATCCATTCATTCATCCTTCAGTTTTCACTCACTGAACTAAACGATGCCTTGTGTTTATATAGTGCCTTACTGCCTAGAAAATACTGGTTTAATGGAAGGATGGGAAAGCTGATGACATGAATAGCTGACAAATGCCTCTTAAAACCCAAATGTCCAAACACAGAGAGAAACTCCCCCACCTTCTGGAAAGACCAGAATAAATGTTCAAAATAATAACAAATGAAGAAATGCAATCCATGAATAAGAAGATTGTATAAAACATGGTATATTAAAAGACATACTGAAAGATTCCTGGACTTAGACTTGGAAGATTTGAATTTGAGTCTCAAGTTGCACAGTCATTGACTATGGACCAGTCTCTTAGTGGATTAACCTCTTTGTCTCAGAGTCCTCTTCCATTCATTCCTCCTCCTTGCGAGTGTCAAAAGAAGCCAAGTTATGTGCTTGCTGCCTTAGTCCATGCTAGGCAGGAGGACGGTGATATTCCTTAGTTTTTCACGGACCCATCAAGTGTGGCAGAGGGTCTCACCTCTCTCATCCAGAAACAGAGACAGAGGGTAAGAGTGGTTAACTCCCTTGGCAAGAGCTACGAAGTGGCAAAGGGAAAATGAGAACTTAAAGCTGCCAGATGGTTTAAATGAAAAACACGGAGCATTTTCCCTTCCCAGCATGCAAGCAGTGTGGGAGATGGGCGGATTTTAAAAGCTAACCAATTAAAACAATGTACAGTGACAAGTTCTCTATTCTCCAGGACTTTCAGGTTTAAATATAAAGACTAGTTTCCAAACTGTAGTGGTTATATATTTTGTCTTTTCAAATACTTCACTTTTACTCCCCAATGAGTAAATGATATTCTCCAAGAAGGCAGGGCACATTCTGCCGATGTTACTCTGTTTTATGTCTGGATTTCACAGGTTATCCAAGATGTGGAACCTTCTTTCCATGCCAGCATTGACATAGAGTTAAAACTCAAAATTGAGTCAGTTGTAATAAATCTTAAAGGCATGTGTCTGTACAGTTGTGTAGGTCCTGGTAGGCAGACAGCACAATATGAATTTGGAATTTTGCCTAATTGCGTGAATAAGCACAGTGGTGCAGAGCGCAGGCCTACAGAATACTGTGTGTGTGGAGTAACATGATAATAGTAAAATATGCTGAACTTGAAAATGCTTTTTGTACTTTGTAAGATACTATATACATTTATCTGTCATCTCTTTAATTTGTTTCCTGTACAAAAACTCAGAATCAGACATCTGTCACCCCAAATCCTGATTATTAGGCCCCTCTATACCACACTGTCTTTCGAACAGTGACTGCCCGCTTAGCACTAGGTGCATGGCCTGCCAAAGGAGGCAGGAATGCAAGGAATCAGGGAAGACTTGATTCTTGACTTCAAAGAGCCCAAAGAAACTGTCAATCAAACACTACAGAATTTGGAGGAAAGGGATCCCCCTTCTGGCTGGGGTTTTGTGGGAAGGCAGGGATTTGAGAGCTTTTTGTCGATTGAGAAGGACATGGCATGTGTTGGATCTCTTGGTTTCTAAACCTGCTAGAAAGGACGCATCTCATGAGTCCTGCCCACGTCCTGTGGAATCCTGTGGGGTGACTAAAGGGGGCCCAGGCATCTGTTTTTTAGAAGTCATCCTGGTGATTCTGTTCATCTGTGAGGTTTGGGAAACACCTTCCAGATGGAGGGAACAGTTTGAGAAACATGAAGGTCGGACAGCACAGGGCATGTTTGGAGAACAGGGTGTAATCTGATCATTGATTCTGGCAGGAGCTGAGAGTACATTAGGGAGTATGGGGAGATATAAGGCCATAAGGGTGGCTTGGAGCTCGGTTCTAGGAGGCCTTGGGTGCCATGCCTGGGCACGTGGAAATTTTCTATAAAGGGCAAGTATGAAAGACTTCTGTGTAGGGGAGCATGTTCTCTTGGGGAAGGACAGGAGAGACTGGAGGGTAGTGAATGGCTGGGGGCAGGGGACCTGCTCAGTTGCTATGTCCAGGTAGCTCAGGTGGTGATGGTTGGACTGGAAAGGAAGGGGGCAGAGTGGAAGGCTTTTCAGCGGAGGAGCATGATAGATTTGTGACTGATTGGTGGGGTAGGGTAAAAGAGAGACAGAGCTGGATCTTTCTGTCTCTTACTAACAAGGCAGAGAGTGTTGGGTGGAGGACTGTGGTGACCAGAGGGGATGCTAATGGCGGACCACGTTGGATTCATTGTTTCCTTTCTAACCCCTGGCACCTGTATCCAGTCAGTCACCTGGGTCAAGGTGAGGGGCCCAAATCTCTGTCTCCAGAAGTGCGTCATCGGAGTTGGTAACGCTCTTTGGGGTTGGGACCTTGGAGAATCCCAATGTGGCTGCCGTGGTTTTTGAGACAGGTTCATGGTGAAGCTGGCTGAAGAGACTGATGGGATCATCGTCTCCAACGACCAGTTCCGGGATCTGGCGGAGGAGTCTGAGAAGTGGATGGCAATCATCAGAGAGCGGTGAGGGAGCCCTCCCCTGAGAACAGGGCACGGACTCAGACCTTTCTCTAAAACCAGCTCTGCTCTGCCACCGGGTGAGGACTCTGGGAAGGGGCTGATGTTGCTTTGTGAAGGACGGTAGCCGGCCGCTTCTGGTGGTGTTGGTCTTGGCTGTCTGGGAGGTGGGCAAGGACCCCTCTCTGACCACACGGTCTCCGTCGCCCATCCAGCCTGCTGCCCTTCACCTTCGTGGGAAACCTCTTCATGGTGCCTGATGACCCGCTGGGGCGAAACGGCCCCACACTGGATGAGTTTCTGAAGAAGCCAGTCAGGTAATGTCTCAGACTCTCCTAGGCAGCCCGCAGCCCTGGCCCTGGCCCTGCAAGGGCCATACAAGTCTGGAGGACTGCGGGAAGAATGACCTCAACCTGGGCCCGCTTTATTCTGTAGGAGTTCACGTTGCCTTAGGCTGGGCCTTTCATGGCTTCCCAGGGAGTCCTGATGCAGACCCTCCTGGCTGGGAGGGGAGCTCCTGCTTCCTGTTTTTCCTAATCAGTGCATTGGGTGGAGTTATTTGGAAGATGGTTGCTTCTACTTACAGCCAGTTGTGTTGAACACTCCCTCTGCTGGACACAAAGTGATTAATTTATTAGGCTAGAACTAGCGGCAGGTTCACCTTCCGGGTTCCAAAGGAACGGTCTATCTTCCCTTTCGAAGTGGGTTGATACTGCCACTCAGCGGTCAGTTCCTGGAACTGCAGGGTCGCGCCCCATAGCCAGGACTAGGCAGGGCAGTTAACTGGGAGTCGGGGACTGGGGAGGCCCACTGGACTCTAATTTTCCTCCCCAATGCTCATCAGCTCTTCCTGGGTTCTCTGCTTCTTCCCAGGGCACAGGGGTCTTCTAAGGCTCAGCATTCCTCCAGGGGCTTTGCAGAACCTGGTAATCAGCAGCAGGGGAGAAAAGAGGAGGAAAAAGGCAGTGCTGGCATTCGGAAGACGCGGGAGACAGAGCGGCTCCGGCGCCAACTGCTGGAGGTGTTCTGGGGCCAGGATCACAAGGTGGACTTCATCCTGCAGCGGGAGCCATACTGCCGGGACATTAACCAGCTCTCCGAGGCCCTGCTCAGTCTCAACTTTTGAGCCTCATGTCTCTGAGTGGCTGCCACCCCATCAGCTTCAGCCTCACCCAGCTCAGCTCATTCTGTGAGGGTCCCTCTGCTGCTCAGACCCTGACCCAGACTCACCCTGAGTTGGTGCTTTGGGTCAGGGAAGCACTGAGTTAGAGCATTTGTGGTGTGGGGAATGCTCTTGCCTGGGGCACTTCGGGGACAGGTCCGGAAGTGACCTGATCTCTTCTTGAGCCAGGACCTCAACCAGCTCTCAGGAGGTTCTGCTCAGTTTTAACTTCTCAACCTTGCCTTATGCAGGGTTTCTGTAGGGAGTGGGGTCTGCTGGAAAGGGTGGGTCCTGGAGATTGGGACGGCCGGCCCCTCCTCCACGTTGAGCTGGGGATGGAGGCTAGGGAGGCTAGGGTGGGCGGGAGGGGAATGTGGAACAGGTGACAAGGAAGCTAAGCCTTTCCTCCTCTTGGCTCCTGCTCTGATGGCCAGAGGACAGGATGCTTCCCAGTCCTGGCTGGGCTCCTGGGCACATCGAAGGGAATGCTGGGCCCTGGAAAGACTAGTGTTCTGGGGTCTGGGTCACATTGGGGCAGCAGGGAGCTGGCGGAGAAGGCAGAGGGAGACTTGGCTTCTGGTTTCAGCTCTTCCTGTCTGTGACCTTGATTGATCTTGCTCTTTACTTCTGCCTACAAGGGTAAGGGGTAAGAATGCCTGTTGGGAGGAGAGAGGAGAACACAGAGGAAAGCTCCTGGGAGGAAGGTACTTGGACCAAGTCTCAGGTGTGTCTGTGGCTGCACAGGTGTCCTAACCAAAACCTCCTCTTTCCCCAGGGCCTGTGCCCTAGATTTGAACACTGCATCCTCAGTATAATGTGCCCTGTAATGGCTGCATCCCTTTGGGCAACCCCCCAAATCCACATTTACAGAACAGTTAATTAGGGGTGGCTGTTGGCATTACCAGAATACTCTCAGGGTTCGTTCCTATCAATGGCAGCTCTCCCGTTGCATTCAGGTGTTTACAGATGAACGAATGTGTCAGAAAGTCCCCAGTCCCCGGTTACCGCACTTGCTCAGGCGTTGAGCATTCAGCAAACCGATGAAGCCATGCTCTGTGAGGACAACGTTCATGTGCTCTGACCCTAGTGTTTTCTCTACCGAACACATATGTTGCATAAAGCAAAGCCCACTTCTGCTCTCTCTGTGTGTGTATGGGGATGGGAGGATGTATAGAGGCTGTAGCTAGAGGAACCAGTTATCTGGAGGAAGGAAACCCAAGAATCAGTCAGAAGGTACCTGACTGGCCACCAGACCAACTGCTGTCACATCCGGACACTCTCTCTCCACCCTGATTCCTGTAAGTCATTGTCTTGTATCTGCTTGAAGTCCTCCTGTGCCAGGGAGTTTCCTGCCTCTGAGGCAGCACAGCCAGCCTTGAACAGTATTAATTGTCCTTCCTTTAGTGCAGCCCCCAATAGGCTTTTCTGTTACTTCTGTCTTTGGGACCGGTCATTCCCTCAGGAACGGTACAGAGCCAGTCAACTTCCTAGAGGGTCCAAGACCAGATAAAGAAGTGGAACAAGTGCCCCTGAGTTCTGTGCTGTCTGGGCCCTGCAGCAAGTCCCTGGGCATGGTCCTTTTTTAGGCTCTGACTTCTGTTCCCTGAATGGCATAGGGAGTTGAGTTGAAATCACCCCAGATCCTTGTTAGCAGCAGCTAGCATTCAGAGCTGAATGATGATGGAGAGGGTCCCTGGCTCCCAGTGTCTTCGCCCCCTGCCCCTCAGTGGTGATGATCATCACTATTCTGCTAGGCTGGGGGCAGGTGTGTTGGAGAGTGGGTGGTTGGGGAGGTGACAGTGACTCAAAGACAACACAGTCCCCTCAGAAGAAAGGAGATTGATTAATATGGCCTGAATTGGGGGCCAGAAGAACTACTGGTCAAGCTATGGCAGATACCAGGGTCAATAAAAAGGGACAGAGTCCTTGATGAACACTTTTTTTCACCTGATAGGGTTGAGTTTGTTGTTTTGATAGGTTTCTGCATCTTTCACTTTCAATGCTGGTGGGTGTGCAGTGGGCTAGAGTGGGCAGTGGGTTCTGCCCTTTGATGCTGAGGACCCTGGTTGACTGAAGTGGCCCCAATCAGATGAGAGGCCAGTCCTTAGCTTCTGACAGTCTCAAGCTTTGCACAGCTTTGTCCTGCTGCAGCTTGATGAATTGGGGCCAGCGTGTGATGGCTTTATCAAGTCACTGCTGTCCGGGGACAGGTTGGAGGCTGTCCTAGACTTGGGCCTTGTCTCTTCCTCTGCTGGCATCCTGATGGCACTGTGTGAACAAGTGTGCAGGGTGACCACAGAGCCCCCCGGAAATGATCATCATTCCTCTTGTCATAACCTTGTGCCCCCAAACTTGTTTCCAGCTCTTTTGGCAGTGGAGGGCCCAAGAAGGGAGATGTGGCCTGTTATAACCTTCAAAATCCCCTGTAAAGGGAAGGATGACATTCCTTGAAGTAAATGTCAGGAGCACCTGGGCCAAAGAGATGAGCCGGAGCTAGTGAGGTAATTTACCTTTATTGCCTCAACTGCAGAACATTCTCTACACAGCAAAATGGAGAAACGGGGCAAGAACGGGACACGCAGGGAAACCAAACTTGGAAATTCTTATACTGGGAGCTGAGGAGGGTAAGGTCCCAACCTGATGAGACTGCAGCCTTGAAACTGAACAGTCTCTAAGTTAAATAAGGTGGGGCAACAGAACAATGAGAAAGAAAGAGGACTCCCTAAGAACCAGATGGTTCCAGGTCACAACCTTGGCTGACACCCAGTCTGACCAGGAAGCCTCTCCTGAGGAACAGGCCTCGGACCCTGCCACGAGCCTCCCCACTTAGGCTACGACTTCCTTCAAGGCGGCCCCCAGCTCTGGGAAGGAGTACTGGTAGCCAGCGGCCAGTGTCCGCCGCGGGACCACCTTCTGGCCCTCCAACAGCATGACAGCACGTTCTTGCCCAAAGACGGCTCGGACCACGGGGCTTGGGAGAGGGATGAAGGCTGGGCGGCCCAGGGCTGCGCCCAAGGCCCGGGCAAACTCAGCGTTTGTCGTGGTGGAGGCTGGAGCCACTCCGTTCAGGACCCCTTGCACGTGGCTTGCTTCAAGGGCATGGACCAGGATTCCTGTCAGGTCCTTGATGTGGATCCAGGGGAAGAACTGGTGGCCTGAGCCGATGGGGCCGCCCAGGCCCAGGCGGAAGGGCAGCAGCATGTGACCGATGGCACCGCCCCCACGGCCCAGCACAACCCCTACAGCAGGGAAGAAGGATGGTACAGGGTTCCTCTGTACTCCCCCTTCCTCACTCCTCCCCCGTGCTGACTTGGCTCTATGGCAGGTGAAGGTTACGGCTCTCTGAGACATCCTGTCCTCCCATCTGCAGGTTAGCCAGAAGTGGTGGCATCCTCTGTGAACTCAGTTCCCCTTATCCCCCCTCCCCTACTTCCCTAGACCAGAAAAGAGACATTCCAACCCTGTTGGATACCCGGGCCCCTGCTTCTTACCAGAGCGCACCACCACTTGGCGTGTGGAATCTCCAGGAAGCCTGGCTGCGGCTTCCCATTTGGTTACGAGGTTGGAGAAAAAGTCAAAATCCCCTCCTGGGCTGTCCTCATCATATTCAGCAGTCAGGCTGGGCTGGTAGTAAGCTGAGGGTGGAAGAGTACTTGTTTGCCCTGGGGTGTCCTTGGGTCCCACCTGGCCCTCTGCGGTCAAGGCTCCCCTGGCCTCACCCTCCTTGGCCCTTGGGATCTTCCCATGGGAAGATAGAGACATGGATACGTTTCCCTTGAGCTTCTCCAAGAGCTGACCTGTTCCTGCCCTGAAGTAATTCTTATCTCTCTTTACAGGGCTAAGCTGAGAGGCTGCTAGAGTGCAGAAGTTAAAAACAAAGACATGGGTGCCAGGCTGCCTGAGTATTGATCTCAGCGCCACCATTTCTCAACTCTGTGACTTTAGGCAAATTACACAACCTCTCTGTGCAGAATTTTTGCATCTTTTAAATGGGGATAATAGTATCTACCTCCTAAGTTTCTTGTGAGGATGAAATGTAATATGTACAAAACACTTAGAAGAGTGGCTGGTATGTATACACGATAATTGTCTGCAATCATTTGGTCCCAAAGGTGAAATACAAGAATCAGGAGTTCTGTTCCTAAAGGACTGTGCTGTGAGAAAAAAGGGACTTGAGGGTAGGTGGGATTTCTTCTGGGGCTGGGAGCACTGTCACTCCCCCCTCTTTCTCTGAGGGTCCCTGTTCCTCAATGACAGTACACAAAAGTCAGGAGAAGTATGCATGGATTGAGGGCCTGGGTAGTTCCTCTGCTTGGCAAAGACCAGGACTCTGGGGCCTGAGCCACCCCTGACTGTGTACTCCCCTTTCTCTGGCTGGTCTAAAGGGTTGGTGATTTGGGGCATACCTACACCTGTGACTAAGACCCAGGCCTGGGGGGGTTGTGGGGCCTTGGCAATGGCTCTAGCCAGCATTTGGGTAGTCTCCAGGCGGCTGCTAAGAACTTCTTTTTGGAAAGCTTCATTCCACCTGCAGGAGAAACATAGGGGAAAATAAAACACTAACTACTTGCACATATTCTTCCCTCTCTTTCCCTGGGGATCATCCATATCCATTTCTAGTAAAACATGCATTGTGGCTTAGAGAAATGGTCTATTTCTCCTGTAGAGGGAAAAGGCACATCTATTTTGGGCATCCTGAGTTACAAGTGGGAACTAAGGTCCACTGGCTGAGTGTGAAGAAGGGCAGGTAAGTGTAGAGGAGCAGGGGTGGAGGGATAGCAGTCTGCGACATGGGTCCAGTTCTCAGTCTGGCAGCTCCATTCGCTGCAGCTCGCGGGTTCTGTCAGAGTCGGCCCTCTCCTCCCTCCGCTCTTAAGGTTGTCAGCTTTAGAGCCTGGCTGACCTGCGGAGAGGGTTGAGGATGTTCTCTCCAGCCAGGTTGACGGCGGCATCGCAGCGGGGCAGCCCCGTCGTAGCAAGCTCATCCTGTGGGAGAAAGTACACAGTGCCCGCGAGCCACCCAACCAGGCCTTCCCCCCGGGGCTCCCAGAGTCTGGACATACCCACGTGATCCGATCGGGCCCTGGCTTTCGGGAGATCAAAGTCACTTTGTGGCCCCTGGCCTTCAGCAGCTGGGTTAGGGCTGTCCCAACGAAGCCCGTCCCACCACCTGATCAGAAAATACAAGGTGTTTATCCTCCTGGGGGCGCCTTCCTTCCTGCACGGGGTGCCCTCCTCTGGTGCCATCCCATCTGACTCCAGACTTCTCCCCTCCTTCTTGCCCCCTCCCCGCGATGCAGAGATGACACAGGTCACAGGGCTTAGGGAGATTCGCCTTCTCCGGCTCGGAGGCCAAGGCCAAGTTGCCTATGCACGAGACGGAACGGCCTCCTAGCCGTTAGTCTCTGGCTAATAGCTTCATTTTATAAACCTGCCTCCTCCCACGCCCCCTTTCTGCCCTCCCTCACCCACTAGAACCCGCATAGCGACCACGACCTAACGCGCCTGCGCAAGGTTTAGAGTTTGCCTCCCCTAGAACGCGACTACGGCGTTTTTGCGCATGCGTCTTTAGGGAAGCGCGCTCCGGTGGCGGCGCGGGTAGGATTGAGACTGGGCGTGGCCTTGCCTGGCGACCCGGAAGAATTCTTGGAGAAGGCTGTGTATTTCATTGCAAGGAGTGGCGGGGACAAGGGCATGGGAGGCCGGGGGTGGGGGGCGGTGGGAATAGACCGAGGGGCGAGGAAGGAAGGGGAGGAGGCGGGGTAGGGAAGGTTTGAGTGTGGGAAAAAACCCTTGATCTAAAACCCCAGGCTACTCCAACTGCCGAATTCTGGATGTTCATTCTGCTTGGTGGCTCAGTAGTATAAGATCCGTCCTGTGCTACAATGGGTTTCTTTCTACCTGGCCTGTTATTTTACCTTTTCTGCTTCCCGTTCTGGCTCCTTCCTGTCGGGATCTACACGTTCTTAAGTTCCCCTCGACTTAAAATAACCCTTTTCCAGTCCTCTTCCTCTGCTAATGTCCTTTCTTTCTCTTCATCTTCATTGCCAGACTTCTGAAAAGACTAGTGTCCATTTTCTACTTCCATCAACTTCACATCCGTCGGGCTTCGCATTTATCAGGCATTGCCCCTTTTGGCAACATCACCAATTTCCTACGTGTTACCAAAATTAATGCTTGGTTTTCAGTAATTTTTCTTGATCTCTGTATTACTGGATGCTAGCTGACTCCTTCCCTTTGGAAATGCTCATTTCGCAGCCTCAGTGAAAGCCACACTCTCTTTGAGTTTTTCACCCAGCTTTATTCAGTCTCTGTTTTTGGCTCTGCCTCTTCCAGTGTCTTAAAATGTTGATATTCCTCAAAGCTAGCTCCTAGGATTTTCCTTTCTTCCCATTCTGCACTTTCTCCCAAGCATTTACATCGGTGAATTCAGTTACCAGTTTTTTTCTTTTTCAAAGAAGACTTCCAAAATCTATGCAACTATAGGAGAGCCTCAGAGCTCCTGAATCCTGTAAAAACTTCCCACTAGGTATCTCTTCCTGGATGTCTGAAACCCTATTGATTATACTTATTAAGTATCTCCCAGATCCATCTCTTTCTGTCTCTTTCTGCCACTACCACTCTTCTTCAAGTTATTATCCTCTTTTTGTCTACATTTCTGCAGTAGTCTCTTTGATAAGTCTCTCTGCTTCTGCATGTTTCTTCTCTCCAAACTCCACACACTGTAATTCTGATTATTTGTTCAAGATGAATTGCTAGAGAGTTCACTTGATTGAAGTGATTCACCATACCCTTGGAAGCGAGGAGTGGTAGCAGCCTCAAGGTCCCGTTGTGTTTGTCCCTGTTCTGCCCTATCCTCTCCTCCAGTCAGTCCCTCAACTGATAAGAGTTGGGGCTGAGCAGACCCTAGGCCTTCAACTTCTTGCTGCTTTGGGAGCAGCCGTTTGTGGCTG